CCCTGAGATCCAAGCGTAATGTGGAAGCTAAATCTGAAATTTTTGAATTCGCACATGAACAGGGAAAATTTCAGCTTTCTGTCCCGCCTGCTTCCGAAGTCGGGCAATTTCCTGCAAAAATCGCACACGAATGCAAAGTGCGAGTAGCAGCTGCACCTAAAATTCCCGGAAATCGCATGTAGGTAGGAAATACTCATATGGGATTTCAGCTTCTGTTTTGCCTGGTTCCAGGGTTAAAAAAATTTCTTACCGAAACACTGATGTACCGGCATATGGAACCTAGATGTACGCAAAAACTAAATCTAAAATTTTCGATAACATGCACGGATTTGTAATATCCCCCAAAAATTTTTAGCTTCCTCACGAGTTAGCAATTCTCGCGCCGTAACTTCCACATGTCCGTACATGAAATTTAGGTGTACGCGTGGTTCTCGAGATAGCAACAGGCATGGAATATCACCCTAAAATTTCAGCTTCCTAGCTTTTCTGGTTGTTGAGTTGAAAACCTGCGATAAAGCCCACTCAGACACACACACGTACAAAAACAAACATATGTACAAACACACCGAGTGTTGACAATGTGCCTTTTGTGCATCTGTTACAGCACGAAGCACATAAAAATCAAGAAATGCCCGGGAACTTTTAATACTGTAAATTTTCGGAGTGTGCTCGCATCACTGCGAAGGTAATGAATAAAGAAAGCATAGCTTTTTAAAGACTGGCGAAATGAGGATTAGAAACTTCCCGGACGCTAACGAAAATTTGCGCCAAAGTTTTCAGAAGTATCCAGCGAACTGTATGTAGAAGCTCCACAAAACTATTGCAGACTCTGACATGGGTAAGTCTCGGTGCTATTAAAGTTTGCCATAAAAGCGACTGTGCTGAAGCTTTTACAAATGATTTTTTAATGCCGAAAGTTATTTGCCTAGGAGAAGAGCTGAGCTGGAAGCTAGAATGATGACAAGAACGGGAGAAGGCTGCTAGACGGGACGGAGAGAGCGGCGCCGGAGGCTTCGATATGATCCAAAAATAATCCGTTTTTCAGTTCCGAATATCCTTATCACTGCAAATATCTCGTCATTCTGCTCGTCAAAGCAATTGTTATTCGTCATCGCAATGCGGCCGTGTAGAATTTTTTTTTCTCCTCGAAAATCGAAAAGCTGATTTTGCTCGGAATGTTCTAAGCAGCGCCGTGTTCGGCCCCAAGCACCTTGTCCGCGGTTTAATGTGTGCTAAATTTATAACTCTAAAACGAACAGTACTGCGAACTCACAAAAGTGACTTAATTCATCAAATGATGCAGGACGGACAATACTGCGAATTCAGAAAAGTAAAATAATTCATCAAATGATGCGAGCTAAACAGACTAAAACAACCTTCAGTGTTCACTATATCCTAGCTCCCGACCGAAGGTCCAAATCCAGCTATTTTCCAATCTCATCGACAATATGTGTTTTTGCTGGCTGCTGGCTCTCGCTATAGCGCTGCTACAGCCAGCAAAAACACATATTGTCGAGAGGCTGTCTGTGTATGTGTGCGTGTGTGTGTGTGTTCGCAAAGCGAGTGCATTTTGTCACCCACTTTCAACTCG